AAAAGTAGACCACAAAGTTGGCATTTTAATTGAAAAAAAAAACGGTCGTAGTTTTTTTTTCTTGTTCTGCACTGCATGCTGCAGGATTTTTTTTTATATGGTGCACACTGACCACACAGACCCATTCTCTCACATGTGGGCCTACCAGCTTTCTACTGCTTGATTTGAAGCCGTTAGAATTTATGAGTAGATATACGTCAAAAAACGGAGGCTTGTAAGACGTATATATACGACCAAAATAGTCAAAGGGTTAAAATGGGAGTGTTAATACTGTATGAAATCAGTGAATCCCAAGTGTTTGCCGCACTGTTTTCTCTAGCTGGCGCTCATTTGAACTGGTGCTCCTACAAGGTACTAAGTGGTCCCAGATTTTTTAATACTGCACACACCGAGTGTTAAGACCCATTCTATGCTGACCAGGCATCTCAGGCCAATTGTGCCAAATTTGGAGGCAAGAAAAATAAAATGTTGATCTACGTTTGGGGCACTAGCGGTAAGAACATATATACAGTGGACCCTCGCATAGCGACTTTAATCCGTGCAAGAGGGCTCATTGTTATGCGAAATGATCGGTATGCGAATGAATTTTCCCCATAAGAAATAATGGAAATCAAATTAATCCGTGCAAGACACCCAAAAGTATGAAAAAAAAAATTTTACCACATGAAATATACATTTTCCTACACACAAAGAGAAGGATACATGCACAATAGTAGAGTAGTACATGCACAATATATATTGTGCATGTACTACTCTACTAAATGAAGAATAAATGACACTTACCTTTATTGAAGATGCAGCAATGACTGATGAGACACTGTGTCCTGGGAGTGCCTTTTCCTCCTGAGTACTGTAGGTCCTGTTTGGCCCTTTCTTCCAGAACAGGCCTTATCACACTGTGTATGCCACTACAATTCTTAAATCTCTCAAACCAATCTTTGCTGGCTTTAAATTCACCAATATGAGCACTAGTTCCAGGCATTTTTCCCTGTTCACCTGGGTGTTAGTCGACTGGTGTGGGTTGCATCCTGGGAGACAAGATTAAGGACCCCAATGGAAATAAGTTAGACAGTCTTCGATGACACTGACTTTTTTGGGTTATCCTGGGTGGCAAATCCTCTGGGGTTAATTGTTTCTTGGTATTCTCAATAAGCCACACCAACAATGGTGCTACAGCAGCAGCAGCAGCTGACAGTGCTACAGCAGCAGCAGACGATGCTACAGCAGCAGCAGACGGTACTACAGCAGCAGCTGATGGTGGTACAGCAGCAGCAGCAGCTGACAGTGCTACAGCAGCAGCAGACGATGCTACAGCAGCAGCAGATGGTGCTACAGCAGCAGCAGACAGTACTACAGCAGCAGTAGCAGCAGCTGTCGGTGGTACAACAGCAGCAGCAGCTGACGGTGCTACAGCAGCAGCAGCAGCTGACAGTGCTGCAGCAGCAGCAGCAGCAGCAGCAGCAGCAGCTGTACCACCAATAGTAGCAATGGTTGATTGGGGTTTATTATACAACCTGGCCAGCTCGGAGACACGCACTCCACTTTCATACTTATCAGTGATCTTTTTCTTCATCTCTATAGTAATTCTCACCCTTATTGCTGTAGGGTTGGCACTAGAAGCTTTCTTGGGGCCCATGGTCACTTATTTTGCAGATAAAATCACCAAAAACACTGTAATAATACGAAATGTTCCGATTGTATGCTTGGATGTTACCGCGGAGGTTGGCTGATAAACAATGCCACCGGCGGCACATGTGAGGCTGGCTAAGGGCGCACATTGGACGCGTCTCGGACGAACAGCGGTGAGCGGGTTTTTGAGCGGTATGGGAGGCAAAATTTTTGCGATAAAAGCGAGCGGTATGCGGATTAAACGATATGTGATGCCGACGGTATGCGGGGGTCCACTGTATACATTTGGACCGTTTAGGGGTTAATTGAGGGGTTTGGGATATTGGCAGTTTGGAGGGACGTCTAAACTGTCATATCTGAGCGCCTCTGCAAAGACAGTGATTACAGTGGTACACAAATAACCCGCACATAAAAGAGAGAAGCTTACGATGACGTTTCGGTCCGACTTGGACCATTTACAAAGTCACACTAACCAGAAGTGGAGCAGGATGGCTATATATAGGCAGGAAGAGGTGGTGGTGGTAGTAGTAGTAGTAGTACAAGAATGGTACATAATACCGACAAGATGAAATTAAGACACATGCGCAACACCCGGACATCTCTATCATAGACGTTTCGCCATCCAGCCAGCCACTGGATGGCGAAACATCCACAACAAAGACACCCAGATGCCTCAAGTGTCTTAATTTCATCAGTAGTAGTAGTAGTAGTAGTAGAAGAGGTAGTGGTAGTGGTAGAAGTGGGGAATAAGGACGAGCCAGTCAAATACAGAGGAAGGGGAGCACTGCAAGGGAGCTAGGTGCCCACAGAGGGAAAGCAAGCACACAGAGGTGCGTGAAAGGGGAAGTGGTGAAATAAATGAAGAAGGAACAGAAACACGAGACAAGAGAGAAAGACAATCCAGAGGAGAAAAAGGAAAGAGGAAAGGGGAAGAGGGAGAAGAAGAAAAAGAAAAAGAAAAAATAAGGAGTCAGGTTAAGTCACGGGTGTTCTGAAGTTTGGAGCATTTTACAATGTAGTGGGAGAGGAAGGCATCTACAGAGACGAAGCCAGGGCTAAGATTCATACAAGGAAAGTTGTGTATTAGAGAGGATTCAACTAGACGGCGACTGTTCGAGTTGGAAGTAGGGAAGACAGTTTTAGCAGAAGACCAGTCAATAGGATGGCTATGATTCTGACGTGACAGAAAAGAGCATTGTTAGTGTCGGCAAGCCTAACACTATTTTTGTGCTCCCTAAGTCTGTCAGAAAGAGATCGACCAGTTTCTCTGAAGTATTGAAGAGGACAGGAGGAGCAAGAAATAGAGTAGACACCAGGAACATCTGTAGAGGGAGGAGAGGTATGAACGAGATTAGTGCGAAGAGTGTCAGATTAACACTCTTCGCACTAATCTCGTTCATACCTCTCTTCCCTCTACAGATGTTCCTGGTGTCTACTCTTTCTTGCTCCTCCTGTCCTCTTCAATACTTCGGAGAAACTGGTCGATCTCTTTCTGACAGACTTAGGGAGCACAAAAATAGTGTTAGGCTTGCCGACACTAACAATGCTCTTTTCTGTCACGTCAGAGATCATAGCCATCCTATTGACTGGTCTTCTGCTAAAACTGTCTTCCCTACTTCCAACTCGAACAGTCGCCGTCTAGTTGAATCCTCTCTAATACACAACTTTACTGTATGAATCTCAGCCCTGGCTTCGTCTCTGTAAATGCCTTCCTCTCCCACTACATTGCAAAATGCTCCAAACTTCAGAACACCCGTGACTTAACCTGACTCCTCATTTTTTCTTTTTCTTTTTCTTCTTCTCCCTCTTCCCCTTTCCTCTTTCCTTTTTCTCCTCTGGGTTGTCTTTCTCTCTTCTGTCTCGTGTTTCTGTTCCTTCTTCATTTATTTCACCACTTCCCCTTTCACGCACCTCTGTGCGCTTGCTCTCCCTCTGTGGGCACCTAGCTCCTTTGCAGTGCTCCCCTTCCTTTGTATTTGACTGGCTCGTCCTCCTTATTCCCCACTTCTACCACTACCACTACTACCTCTTCTACACTACTACTATTACTACTGATGAAATTAAGACACGTGCGGCGTCTGGGTGTCTTTGTTGTGGACGTTTCGCCATCCAGCCAGCCACTGGATGGCAAAACGTCTATGGTAGAGATGCCCGGATGTTGCGCATGTGTCTTAATTTCATCTTGTCGGTATTATGTGCCATTCTTGTACTACTACTACTACTACTACTACTACCACCACCTCTTCCTGTCTATATATAGCCATCCTGCTCCACTTCTGGTTAGTGTGACTTTGTAAATGGTCCAAGTCGGACCGAAACGTCGTCGTAAGCTTCTCTCTTTTATGTGCGGGTTATTTGTGTATCGTTCCAGTCACGGTATTGTGCCTTTTTTTGTTATTACAGTGGCACCTCGAGTAATGAACTTAATTCGTTCCAGAAGGCTGTTCGAGTGCTGATACTGAATCAGTTTGTTCCCATAAGGAATAATGTAAATTAGATTAGTCCATTTCAGACCCCCAAAAATAAACTTACAAAAGCACTTACAAAAATACACTTACATAATTGTTCAAGTTGGGAGCTGTTCGAAACTCAAGGTACCACTGTACGTGAGTGATGGTGAAAGTGTTGAATGATGAAAGTTTTTTCTTTCTTTTTGGGTTTTACTTTTTTTGGGGGGTTACCCTACCTCGGTGGGAGATGGCTGATGTGTTAAAAAAAATATATCTTGAACAGTCATTTAATAAAGTACTCTTACAAAAGTTGTTAATACAGTGGTACTTTGAGTTTCGGACAGCTCCCAACTCGAACAATTATGTAAGTGTATTTTTGTAAGTGCTTTTGTAAGTGTATTTTTGGGGGTCTGAAACGGACTCCTCCAGTTTACATTATTCCTTATTGGAACAAATTCGTTTGGTATCTTCACTTGAACAGCCCTCTGGAACGAATTAAGTTCATAACTTGAGGTACCACTGTATTTGAAGAAATTTGAAAGGTGTCCAAGAATATGCACTTCTCAAATGCAATGAGGAATAAAGAAAAATATGATGAAGCATATAATTTATATTTAAGATTCTTTTTAATTAACAAAAGTTATTTTGCATGGCCAATGATATAATTAGCAGAGAAAACTAACTTTCTAGTGTAAACAAAGCAGATGCAATATTTAATAAGTCAATGGAGGTAGATGAATTTATAGAAGAGCTTTTCAAATATGATTGTCATCAAAATTGTGCTATTTATAATAGGCTTTTTATCATATAAGTGCAAGGAGTTAATAAATTGTAAGAAAAAAAATTGTTTATATAGGAAATAAATGATATATAAATGTGGAAGTAAATGATTGTAATATAAATGTTATCCTGTAATTGCAGACAAGGCTCTGGAGGTTATGGGTACAATTCAGGAAGCACCAGGTACAGTAATTATAGTTCTGGAGGTCAGAACACAAGTGGTTATAACTGGAACTATAGCTCACAACAGAGAGGCAGAGGAAGAGGAAGAGGAAGTGGAAGTTCAAGTGGTAGTGGATATTATTCATCAAATAATTAACATTTTGTTGAGTTACATCTGAGGATGGTAAGTGCTTTGGGACTGGTTAAAAAAAAAAAAAGTAGATAGAAGGGTATGTTGGTGTCATCTGTTACATACTTGTTGTCAGGTCGAGTAACAAAATCAATATCTCAAATTTTCTTGATGTCTGCAACTTACTCTATATCTAGTGAATATAAGAATTGGTATAGTACATGTTTAAAGTCTTTTTAAGTAAGAATCCATTAATGTTTGATGAAGGGGTTATATAACATAAGACTGAAAATTACATAATTTCATATACATACTGTCTTTCAGATCAGTGGTTGGTATTCTTGACTTGTGCAATGTGTTAGTACAGGTGGCTATTTTTGTAGTTAACGAATGGAGTATGTTCAGGAGTTTACATTGCTGAATACTACATTTTTTTAAACTGCTACATGTACAAGTACAATTTATGTATATATGACCTCTGAATTGAAACTATCAATTACTGTATGTTTTATCATTACATCAAGTTTATATAAAAACTTGTCTAATTTTCTAATTACTTGTTACTAGACATTTTTGTCACCCACATTTTCCTGTTAATACAATTGACAAGACCTGGAGTTTTTTTTTTTTTTTTTTTTTTTTTTTTATTAGAGTACTCCAATGAATTGACAATGATAATACCGTATTTATTAACTAGGATGCCAAGATGTGAAGTGAAAACAATGTTGATTACAGCAAGTAAATAGCACTGCTTTTAATAATATAATTGTAAAAATACCTGGAAGACTGAACGTAGTCTTGTACTATTTTGTGTATAATTGTTGAAAACCCATGGCTAGACTTCATGGAGGAACAATAATGTTTGGGAAGTGAAGTACAGTACACTTTATTTTATTAGTTTTTGATTGAAGTCAGCAGCTCCAGGTTAGGTAACTAGATTCATATATAAATATATATGAGCATGATTTTGTGTAATTTAGCAAAAAACAGAAGGAATATAACTTACTTGGCACAAAGTTTTGTAAATTATACCTAGACATTGGAGGGTACAACAATGACTGGACTGTTAGGATACTGCACCAACATGAACATGTGAGCATACATCTTAACCTGTTTTTCATATTAGGACTTGACACTTTTCTGTACCATGTTTTTAGTGTACATGATAAGTACAAAACTTTGTAAATTAATTAAAGTGTATTCTTTCCTATGTTTGTTTATTGCCTTAGTCATCAGAAAAGCCTGGCTACATGGCATGCTGCAAGTGTAGGAAAAACTACATCAACTTCTGCAGCAGGGATCATAACCAAGCACTAAACCACAGGGAAATAAAACTTATAATGATTGTTTTTAAAGTTTCTATTAAATACCCTCCCTTAAAGGGGGAGGAAAGGGTTTGCTCTGCTGCTGATAAGGACTTGATCCAAGGTATTTGAACCACCCTCTGATCAAATCCCATTACCTATCATATCCCAGCACTGTATGACCTGTCTTAACAGCCATTTTCCATCAAGGGTGATCCAGTTAAAGGAAATGCCACCATTCAATCGCTGTCTTGCTCAAAAGGAGCACTAAACAAAACTCAAAAGGATTGTCAATTAGAATGAAAAGAACACCCAAGATTTGGGAATAATTGTCATTGTTTTCTTTGAAAGTAAAATCAGCCAAGTCAAAGGTCATGACAGCTAGGAGGATGACTGGGTGGGTAATGAGAACTTTTAGAACAAGGGAAATAATGCCAATAGTGATACTTTTCAAAATACTAGTGCTCACTCATTTGGAATACTGTTCAGTGTTGATGGCCCCATTCAGGGCTAGAGAAATATCAGAGCTGGAACAAATAGAGATCGTTTACAGCCCACACACAGCCAGTAAAGCACTTCAGTTACTGGGAATGCCTTTAATATTATATACCTCTTCAAGGGGGGCTCCTTGGTGTGGTGAAGAGGCTCTTGGTCTGAGGAATTAGACTTGTCGGTCTCCTTCCTCAGACCGAACTTTACCCCCCAATCCCCCCTTCCCTCTCCCATCCTCCCCTTTTTCCTTTCCTCCTCCCCACCCCTCCCTTCTGCCCTTCCTTTTTGGCCTTTGGAATTTTTTCCCACAGGCGCACTAGTTCCTAGGTAGGGGGAAGGGTACCGGGGTCCATCCCATTCCGTTGAGGTTCTTGGCGGTGGCGTAGTTTGCCATGGAATCTGGATTGCCTGGGGATGTCCCGATCCCTCTCCGGTATCCCGGAGGGTGGCTTTGGGTGTCTTTCGGGCGACGGGTGTATCTCTGGAAGGCGCCTTTTGGATTCCGGGGGTGGTGGCCGAAGGAGGTATGCTTTGTGGCGGATATCCGGCTGCCCTCTCTTTTGTCCATCGAGGAAGCTCGGCAGATGTTATGTTGCTATCCCGGCTTGCTGGTTTACTGGAATGATGGGTAGGGTATGGCACGGATTCCATGCTGCATCTGCGCTACTTGCAGTGCTGAGGTCCTCTTGGGCGCAGAGGGAGATTTCTGGCCCTTTCATACCTCCTAGGAACTATCCCCCCCCCATCCCCCCATTTTTTTTCTTTTCTTTTTTTTTTTTTCCTTAAAAACAAAAAGAAAGAAGTAACCTAACCATGGAGTACCCGGTCCATGACCCCGCTACCCCCGGGCCCCTTATTGTTACCGCACCCCGTTCTGACCTCACCTCGTCTTTTGGCCACACTTTGGACATTCCCAAGGCCCCTGTACCTCTTGCTGGTGCTGTTTCCTCACCTGCTTCAGGTACCGGGACTTGACTCCTTCGATTTGTCTGACCTCCGCTCTCCTTTGACTATGCTTCCTAATGATGTTACTTCGTTACCTTCCCTTTCTACTCGGAAAAGACCGACACGTCATGCACTCCCTCTCCACACTCAGTTTCAGACCACACAATGGACTAAATTCTTTACATTAAGACCGACTTCTTCTACTGTCTATCTTTCCGACCATAGTATTGGCAAAGTGCTCCTACGCCACGTTGGTAGAGATATTTCTTTTCATGCTCTTAAGAGTGGTATGTGCATCATCACAGTCCAGAATTCTACCCAAGCTCATGATCTTTCTCTTCTTCCACATATCGATACTATTCCTATCACTATCGAAAAACATCATTCCCTCAATTCTTGTAGTGGTACTGTTATTCTGCCCCATACCATAGTCCAACAGAATTTCCAGACGTGGCACTGACATTCTCGAACAGCTGGAACTCCAAGATCTCCCAATTCTCAAGGTAGACACTTATGTTCTTCCTGCCCGCGGGCGAAGACGATACCCTTGCAATGTGGCTCGTTTAACTTTTGACAGCCGTGAACTCCATCCTTGTTTATGTAGCAGGACATAGGTTACAAGTTCGGAAGGTGACCCCTACACCGCAACATGTAGGAATTGCTGGTGATTTGGCCACCAGCAAAATATTGCAAATCTATAGCCGAATGCCCAGTCTGTTGTGTCGATGACCATTCTAATACGTCTTGCAGTCAACTCCTCTTGCCTTATTGTCATGAGGCTAACCCTTCGTTTCTCTCGGGCCCTTGCCAAGTCTACTTAAATGGGGCGGGAAATTCGTTGCCCAAAGAGGCGGAGGTCTCCCTTATGCTATGGCGGTTTTTTCATCTCCGCTTCCAAGGGAGACTGCCCCGTGTTTCTTATTCTCGTGTTTCAAAGCGTCCCCCACTTCTGGGGTCACATCTTCTGCAGCCTCCTCTGCGGTTGCCGTCCATAGTCACTCCTGATCTAATTTTTTGCTGTCCTGGCTCAGAAGTCCTTTCTTCAACCCCTCGTCTGTCCACACTTCTTCGTGTCCTCCCCTCACAAACCCCGGGATCGACAAGACCCCTTTCGACACCTCCCATCGTCCCTCTACTTCTCAGAGGCCCAAAAAATCTCCTTTAACCCCTCCTTCCCTTCATCCACCTCCACATTTTATTTTCCCGGTCTCTGTACCTGAGTCTTTCCCTTTCACTGGCTCTGTTACAAGTGTGGAGGGTTTATCCCCCTCCTCGTTTAAAGTGCCTTCCTCCCCTGTCCCCTCCCAAGTTTCTTCCTCTTCTGCCACCTCCCAGGTTTCTGCCTCTTGTGTCCCCTCCCACACTTCTCCAGTTCCCTCCACCCTTTTGCCCCCCCCTCCCCCTCACCTTGGTACAGCCCATTACAGCTCCAATCTTTACTAAAACTCCTCCTCCTCCTTCCATCTCCAATATTGTCTCCCATACACGTCTCTGAACTCCGAAACACTTGAAGCAATCTCTGAATATATTGCAGAGACCAAACCATCAATGGACACTGATCCACCCTCTGTTCTTTCTCTGTCCTCTTCTCCATCTGCACAACTCCTTTTTTCACAATGCACCATTCCTTCGCTACTTGAACGTTTTCCTTTGCCACCGCATGTGGACTTTTCTAACCCCTCTAGTAAGTAGGTACCCTTACCTGCAGATTTCAGGTATCTTTATCGTTGCCAATCATGGCCTATTTACAGTGGAATATTTGCGGCCTCGGGTAATTTGGGGTGAGCTTCAGATGTTGCTCTCACCAGTTTTCCCCTGTTGGTGTTTACTTACAGGAACCAAAATTACACTCTGCCGTTATCTATCCTATCTCGGGCTATAATTTGTATTCTTAAGATCCTTTTCCTGATGGGACCTTTAATGAAAGTGCCCTTCTTCTACGCACTGACATTCTGTACCATCAGCTATTTGTTCATACTTCGCTGCATTACACAGCAGCCCGTATCCACTTGCATAGGTGGTATACACTCTGTTCTTTGTATCTCTCTCCTTCTCAGGCATTATCTATCCCAGATATTGCCTTTCTTGTTTCATCATTACCGCCACCACTTCTGTTACTTGGCGATTTTAATGCCCACCATTTCCTCTGGGGGGTCTCACTGTGATTCCCGTGGCATTCAGTTAAGAGGCTTTTCTTGCTACCCACCCCTCCTGTTTAAATACAGGTACTCACACCCATTCTGATCCTCGGACTCATACTCTCTCTTGCATCGATCTCTCAGTCTGCTCTTCCTCCGCCGCATTAGACTTCACCTGGTCTGTTCTCCCGAATTTTCATGACAGTGATCATTTCCCAATCATTCTTACTTACCCTTCATATTCACCACCTCTTCGTAACCAACGCTGGCAATTTGATCAGGCAAATTGGAACCTTTACTCACAACTAACTGTTTTTAGTGAGGTTCCTTCTTCGTCCTCCATTGATGAGCTTTTACACCTCTTCTCGTCCTCCGTTTTAACCGCAGCTTCTCATTCTATACCCCAAACTTCAGGCAGGCATTCTCAGAAATGCGTGCCTTGGTGGTCTCCTGCTTGTGCTCGTGCAGTACGTTTGAAACGCTCTGCGTAGGGCAGGTACTGGTACAATAGAACCACGGGCTCCATCTATGCCCCTCGTTTCTTTCCTCAAAGTCTGCCAGAGAGTTAGCACCCTTGGACTTTTCTTCTCTCAGAGAAGAGCAGTATAATGTGCCTTTTACACTCTAGGAACTGGAGGCAACACTCTCAGCTTGCCGATCATCGGCAGCTGGGCCCTACGACATTCATATTCGTATGCTACAACATTTACATCAGTCAGCCCTTGCAGTCCTATTACGTCTTTTCAATCTTATTTGGTCACAGGGAGTTCTTCTACAGCTGTGGAAATCTGTCATTGTTCTCCCTTTCCGCAAACCGGGTACTACGGGACATGAAGCCTCCCACTATCGTCCCATTGCTCTTACCAGTGCAGTTTGCAAGGTGATGGAACGCCTGGTAAATAAACGTTTAGTGTGGTATTTAGAGAGAGACAACAGTCTCTCCACTCGTCAATATGGCTTTCGTAAGGGCTGTTCTACCATAGACCCCTTACTACGCTTGGATACGTATGTTTGTAATGCCTTTGTGAATAACCACTCGGTTATTGACATATTTTTCGACCTTGAGAAGGTATATGATACAACTTGGAGGTATAATATTTTGGCCCAAGCCCACTCCTTAGGCCTTCGAGGCAATCTACCATCCTTCCTTAAGAACTTTTTAACCGACAGACATTTCCGTGTTCGGGTTAATAATGTGCTCTCCCCGGACTTTATCCAAGCTGAAGGTGTCCCCCAGGGATGTGTTCTGAGCACAAAACTTTTTCTCCTTGCTATAAATGATTTGGCCTCTAGTCTTCCATTCAATATTTGATCATCACTATGTTGATG